TATATATATATTTTTAGTTTTTTAATGTTTATTTATTTTTTAGACAGAAAAGAGACAGAGTGCAGGTAGGGAGAGGCAGAAAGAGAAAGAGGGAGACACAGAATCCAAAGCAGTCTCCAGGGTCTGAGTTGTCAGCACAGAACCAGAAGCGGGGTTCAAACCCACAAACCAAATCGTGAGATCATGACCAGAGCTGAAATCGTATGCTTAAGCGACTAAGCCATCCAGGTGCCCCTAAATGTTTTTTTAATGTTTACTTTTGAGAGAGCGAGCACGTGTGCACAGGCACGAGTGGGGGAGGGGCAGAGAGAGAGGGAAACAGGCTCTAGGCTCTGAGCTGTCAGCACAGTGCCTGATGTGGGGCTCCAGCTCCCTGATGGTGAGATCATGACCTGAGCTGAAGTCGGACGCTTAACCAACTGAGCCTCCTAGGCGCCCGAATCTGTGTTAAGTCTCTAAATTTGTGGTAATTTGTCAAAGCACCTACAGAACACTACCACGATGATTGCCTCAAGAAAATATTTTTGTAGAGACCAAGAGAGAGTGTCCTAGTGGACAGGGAAGAATCTGGAAAAAGGGAAGCTTCCCCGTGTAAACGATGAAGAATGTGTTCGTGGAATACCTCAGGAAGTACAGGGTTCCCCTTCCACCGCTGACTCACTAAGGAAACAGCGTTGATCGCCTGTCCTTTGTGAAAAGAGTTTGCCTGTGAGCAGCCTTACCCTTTTCCGCTGACTCTATGCTTAACTGTTCTGGGAAACTTCTCAGACATTCATCACTAGAAAGGTTCGAAGGGCCTATGCAGGTGCTGGGTGGGCGGAGTCCCCATGGAAGGAAGTGCCTGCTGTGGACCGAATGTTTGTGTCCCCTCACGCCCCAAATTTATATGCTGAAGCCTAGTTTCCCCGTGTGACGGTGTTAGGAGATTGGGGCCTTTGGTGGGTGAGTACATGATGGTAGAATCTCTACAGATAGGACCAGTGCTCTTGTAAGAAGAGACCAGAGAGCTTACTTCTCCTTTAACGTCCTGAGGACGCAGTGAGAAGGCCACCACCTGCAAGCCAGGACCAGGGCTCTCACCGGGAACCATGCGGGAGGCACCCTGATCTCAGGGCTCCCAGTCTCTAGAACTGTGAGAAACAAATTTCTGTTCTTTAAGCCATCTGTGGTATTTTGTTAAAGCAAGAGTTTTGGTGTTGGGACTTTAGGATCCAGGCTGGACTAGATCAGGGGCTCTTCCTTCCCGAGCAGCATCACCAGGCATTTGTTAGCAATACAATTCTCAGGTCTCACTGCAGGCAGTCGGGAGCCAGAGGCTCTGAGGTGGGGTTGGGAGGCTGGGTTTCCGTAAGTGCTGCAGTGCTGCTGATCCATGCTCACGTTTGAGAACCACTGCACCACTGACCTTTAGGGAGACTTCCAGAAGCGAGATTTTACAGTTTCTCATGCCCTGGTGGCCACTTGCCCCTTGCTGTCAAACTCTTCCCTACCTGTCCCCACTAGCTGTCTCCACCTCCTACCTGTCCTCCCATCCTGTTCCTTGCTGAGTCAAGGATTCTTCCTGGTCACCATCCCCCTACCTCCTTGTTGAAACCCCTCCCTCTGCGGTCTCTGCAACAAAGCCCCTCCCACAACCAACTCTTCCCTGAAAGTCGACACTGCTTCTCATCACCCTCCTGAGTCCCATCTCTGATCCAAACGCCAATAGCCTGATTGTTATTAAAGACTGAAAGAGATTGCCACTGGATATCTAACAGTTTCTTAAATTTCACATCCCCAAAACAGGCTTGTTCCTGAGGCCCGGCATCCTGTCCCTTTGTAGCATGCTGACCTTGTTGGTCACTTGGGCTCAGGTGGGATTAGGTGAGGGAAGGAATGAGATTGCCCCAAGTAGGATTCTAGAAAAAGGGCTGTTTGAGGGAGAGACCAGGAAGGGAAGATTAATTCCAGGGGAAAGAGTGAGTAGGAGCACAGCATGGGTGGCAAGTTAGGGTTTGTGCTCCAGAAGGGAAGGGTCACAAGCACTAAGGAAGGATCAGAGGAGCCTCCTCCAAGAGCAATAGCTCCCAGGAAAAAAAGGGCTGCAGGAACCCCACACCGGAGAGCCAGTTGTCTCCCTCACTTCAACTCCCCAACCTCAGATGTAATCATGAAGCACTAGACCACCCAGCATGGCAAAGGAGGGAGGCAGAGCCAGGGAGGTCCAAGAAGCACCCAAAAGGAGGCCTCAGATTCAAATAGAGCCATGACCTTACTTTAAGCCGGCTCCATGTGCCTTACCATGGCCAGATGAGTAGAAGTTGAGGCTTGGTAGCCGACTCCTACAGCTTGGAAGTCCAGAGTGAATCCTTGCTAGGGGGGAGGCCACAGAGTAAAGCACTTGGAGAGCCATGCAAGCACTCATGAACACAGAGGGTGTCTTATGTGGGGGTGGTTCTAAATTATCATCCTAGGTGAAAAGCACCAGAATTACCCCAGTAAGTTCCTTAGGAAGGCATCACATTAGAGACAGTGCAGCTGGAGAAGTAAGTAGCAGTAACCTTGCAAAGTGACACAGCAATCATGATATTGTGATATGATAAGAAATATATGCATATGGTCTTTTTCTGTGGTTTCCAGCTCTTGAGACCCCTGTAATTTCCTGAGTGATAGGGGTGAGAAGAGCATCTTTTTGTTCATCACAAACCTCCACCAAACATTTCTGAGTTTATGCTAGTGAGGAGATTCCTGGTGGCCCCCTAGATAGCCTCAAGATGGGGGCTGCTTATCAGGGAAACCAAGCTTGTGATTAGAGTGTTGGAACTTTCAGCCCCACCCCCCAACCTCTGGGGAGAGGTTGAGGTAATCACCTGGAGATTGAGGTAATCACCAATAGCCAATGACTTCATCAATGACACCTATGGAATGGGATCTCCATAGGGTTTAGTGAGTTTCCAGGTTAGCAAACAAATCCCTGTGCGGGGAGGATGGCATATCCCAACCCCATGCGACAGAAGCCCCTGTGCTCAGGACTCTTTAGTTCTCCCCCTGCCTACCTCTTCATCTGGTGATGGTCTGTGTCTTGCATAATCTACTTTATAATGAACCAGCAATAGTAAATAAAGTATTTCCCTGAGCTCTACGAGCCATTAGAGCAAACGACTGAGCAAAAAACTGAGGAGTTGTGGGAACCTCTGATTTTGTAGCCAGCCAAGTGCAGGTGACTTGGGGATCCACGACTTGCATTTGGTGTCTGAAGTGGAGGGGCAGTCTTGTGAGAGAAAGAATGAATCTGTGCAATTATTTCAAATCAAAAGGTGATATAGTTCAAAATAGCCAAGAGATGCCTCATGTTAGAGGAAAGTAATTAAAGTGGGTTCTGGATAGATGGATGATGCAGGGCAGCATAAAGCAGGGGCGATGGGAACAGATGCTCATTGGCAGAAATAAGCATGGATGCGCAGGGACAGGGAGCATTCTAGCAGAGAAGAGTCCTGGTCAGGGGTAGCAGGGAGAGGACTGTGGAGGTCTTGGAATCCAACAGGGAGAAGCAGGGGCTACATTTTCTCCTGAAGAATATGGGGAGCCTTCAGTTTCTGAGGGAACAGCACATGGAAGTGATGTTCCAGGAGGTGAACCTGGCCATAAGGGGGTTGGGAACCATGGTATTGCTGTAAGCAGTGCTTCCAATCTTTTCCTCTTTATTGCCCCCTAAAGAGAAAATTCTAGTGGAAAAGACTAAGGAAAAAGACTTCGTCAATGAGGACTGAGCTTGGGAGGGCCACAAACCACTCAAATATCTGAGACTTTTTTTTTTTTTTTTTTTTTTTACCTCCCAGGAGTATGTTGAGAATGGGTGGTGTAAGGGGATGAGAGAGGGGGCATATCTGAGTGACAGTTTGATGGGTGAATTGATTCAAGCTGGCTGATTTGGAAGGGAAGGAGGGCAAACCTAGTAAGGGCTCAACACCTTCCAGCCTGAGTCGCCCGAGAAAGAGCTAACAGAAAATTGGCAGGCTCGTGAAGGGAAGGCTGAAGCACTGGATTTGCAATTACCTCAAGGAAACATATGAACCAATGCTGCATACCTTCTCTCCTGAATTCAGCCCTTTGCTGTGTGCATTTAACATAGAAAGAGTGTTCTCCTATTCTAGAAGCTGATGTGGGGAAGGTGCTATTGGCCCAGCTGGTGCCTCAACCTGCCCCTAGTCAAAAGTTGGGTTCAGTCCTCGCATCTCTGAGTCACTCAATCTCAACCCACCCAATTGCTGACCTCTGGGTTTGCCCCTCCAGGCTCACTCTCCTCCCCGCCAGGTGCCGAGAGGAGACGTCTATGGACAGCAACATTGGCAGGTCACCCTCTAGGCAAGGGCACAACCAGAGACCAACACAGGTATGCCACCTGTGTATCTGAAAGTTATAAATCACCCCAAGATACTGCAAAATTACATATAGCTTATCCTGCCTCTTTGACAAATGCTCCTTCACATCAACCCTGAAGGCCAAGTCTAACTTCAGAACTCTTAGACTCCTCAAAGTTCTAGGCTGGCATGTGGCAGGGCGGGGAGAGCACACCTCAGCCTCTGAGCAGCCTTTCTTTCCCTACCCACAGGAGGAGGATGACACTCCATCCCTCCTATACTTCCCCTGTATGCAATTTGCATTCAATATCGTCATTGAGCTGGTGGGAATATAAAAAGTACAGCTGCTGTAGAAGCAAGTGTGGAGGTTCCTCAAAAAATTAAACCAAACTAGTCTATGATCCAGCAATTCCACTTCTGAATATACCCCAAAGAATTAAAAGCAGGATCTCAGATATCCGTACACCTGTGTTCATGGGAGCATTATTCATAATTGCCTAAGGGTGGAAACAACCCAATGTCCACTAACAGATGAATGGATAAACAAAATGTGATCTATGCATTCAGTGGAATATTATTTGGCTTTAAAAAGGAAGGAAACGCTGATATATGTTACAACATGGGTGAAGCTTGAGGACATTATGTTAAATGAAATAAGCCAGATTGATGATGACTCCCTCAACCACATTCTTTGGAAAGCTGAACAAACTGAGAACTCACTACAGTCATTCTCTTCAGTGCTAGCAAAAAGGCAGAATTCGCGTAGCATCAAAGTCGTCCTGCAAGAGCTCCTGGACCTAATGATGTCTAAACAAAACACGGGTGTCCCTCAGCCACCCAAAGGAGACCGGTGCCGCAATTCATCAAAAAGAAAAACCACAGGCCCTCTCCCTTCCTTCCATCCGATTTAAGCAGTCCTCAATTTCCACAGTACTATATTTTCTAGGTACATCTTGTAGACCTCAAAGTACTGGAAAGGAAGCTCCCATTCAAAGGCAATTTATCTTAAGATACGGTGAACAATAGCAATTTTTTTCCATTTGAAATAAATAAATTTTGCTATAACAAAATAAATAAGTAAATTAAAAAAATAAAATAAGCCAGCCACAAAGGCCAGTCAAAAATTGTATGATTCCACCTATGGGAGGTACCTAGAGTGGTCAGATTCCTAGAGACAGAAAGTAGAATGGTGATGGGGCGCCTGGGTGTCTCTGTCTGACTTTGGCTCAGGTCATGATCTCGTGGTTCATGGGTTCGAGCCCCGGATCGGGTTCTGTGCTGGCAGCTCAGAAACTGGAGCCTGTTTCAGATTCTGTGTCTCCCTCTCTCTCTGCACCTCCCCTGCTCATGCTCTGTCTCTCTCTGTCTCAAAAATAAATAAAAACTATTAAAACTTTTTTTTAAAAAAGTAAAATGGTGGTCGCCAGGGGCTGGGGAAGAAGGAAAGAGCTGGAGTTAACTTTTTAATGGGGGCAGAGTTTCAGTTTGGGAAGATGAAAACATTCTGGGGATGGATAGGGCTGATGGTCGTATAACTATGCCACTGACCCATACACTTACAAATGGTTAACGTGGTCAATTTGATGTTACATATATTTTACCATCATTTCTTAAGAACTAAATATTTAAAAAACCAGCACTGCAATGTATCCCCTGACAAACGGAGGAGACACCCCAGGTCTCTGGCATTTCCTCTAACCAGGACGCACTACTGAATCAGGCAGCTGGGAGCTTAGGCAAGGTATTTTTGTTTCAACTGATCCCTGGGATTATTAGGAAGCTGCTAGATTTTTTAATCTGTCTCTTTCCAGACCAAAAAGGTCACCCACAGGGCATCTAGCCTTAGACAAATTCTTCTTTACCAACTACTTTTAAACATCAATCCATAAGGAAGCCCCTCTTATAGAAATAAAAGAGGAAGAGAGGACAGGAATAAGACATACGCCATAACTATCAACAGACACCTTTGTTCAAATGGCCTGCTTACTGTGTGTGAGTACTAAGGGGGTGTAGGATGGTCAGGCATGAGGGTAGGTTGGGCCCAGGCTCTGCTATTTACTGGGGGCCTGGCCCAGGGCTGCCAACAAGAAAGGAGTTACTTGCACAGAGTCTGTTGCTTGCAGAGTCCCCTGTGTCTGCCAGCCTCCTTCCTCAGAGGCCTGCCTGCCATGTGGGCAGTGTCCCCTGCCCAAGGATCGGGTGCTGGATGGAATGGAGCCCCTCAGGAGTGCCTGCAGGGAAGGCTTCTTGGTTCTAACCCGTCTCGAAATACTCCCAGAGATTATAGATGAGAAAAGTCATTAGGGGCGCCTGGGCGGCTCAGTTGGTTAAGGATCCAACTTCAGCTCAGGTCATGATCTCGTGGTTTGTGGGTTCAAGCCCCATGCCTGGAGTCTGCTTCAGATTCTGTGTCTCCCCCCACCTCTCTCTGCCCCTTCCCCGTTCATACTCTGTCTCTCAAAAATAAATAAAACACTAAAAATAGGAAAATGTTTAAATACATTAAAATATTTTCAGGAGTCCCTAGGAGTGTCACTGCGATCCTTTGACGCTATGCCTACTTTGTCTGATGGGTGTGTCAGCCCTGCATTGAGGGACATGTAGGTAGAAAGGACAAGAAAGACATTCCGTCAGGAGTGGGGGACCTAACCTCAGCAGGTGTGTGAGCTGAGCCAGTGAGTTCACCTCTCTGGGCCTCAGTTTCCCCATCCGGGGAAAATAATAGTGTCTACATAGCAGAGCAGTCGTGAGGACTGAAATAAGAACCTGTGTGCACTTATGTTGATTAGAATGGTACCTGGAGCACAGAAACCACGATCAAAGTGCTAGCTGTCATTAATGCTCTTGTATATTCTTGTTCTAGGCACTTAACTGACCCTCTGTATCTTAACTGACACTTTTCCAGAAAGGCAAGGCGGACCTTCCTGTGGACAGGGACGTCTCACTTGGACCTCCTGGAGCAGATACAGCTATTTTAGAGCTGCTTATTTAGGAAAACTTTATTTTCATGAAATTCCTTGTGGGCCTTATCACGGGGAGCCCCGGGGAGCTGGCAGTCTCCTGAGCTGAGCCGGTGCTGAGCAACCTTCCTGGGCAGGAAGAAGACGCAGGGGGCCTTGCTCTGCCTCCTACTTTTCTTCTCCTGCTCAGCAGGTGTCAGAGTTCAGGGAATGGAGTGAGAGGCTTTGCGGCCTTTTAAAATGCAAAGGCCTTTGGGATAAATTAATGTCTAATCCCTTAACAGTCACACAAGAGGAAGGCCTGACAGCTGGGTTTTTCTAAAGGGACTTGAATCCTTATGTGCCAAGGGCTTTACATACATTATCTCCTTTAATCCTGACAACAACCCCAGCTGTAGGGATTACAATTCCCATTTTGAAAACCAGCAAAGGGAGGCTCAGAGAGGGTCTGTGACTTGCCTGCAGGTCACCCCTACAGCCCGAAGAGCCTAAGAAAAGATCTAGAGATGGAGATAAAGGGAAAGGGAAGCCAGGCTGCCCAGGTCTGCCTTGGCCAGTGCCCATTGGCTGAAATGCTCCAGGCCTCAGTTTCCCAAGCACACAAGGGGGAAGCGGCGGGGGGGTTGGCCCCACACTTTGTGCATTCTGCTATTCTTACTCCATTTCCTGCCTGGTGGGAGATGGTTCCTTTCCTGGACTTCCTGTGGCATTTCTCCAATTCCTGGAAGGGACGTCCACCAGCCTGGCCACCTGTCCCTGACTCCAAAGCAGCAAAGCTCCTTTGGGGTCAAGTTTATGAGGGGACTCGTAATAGGTTAAAGTGTTGTTGCTGCATTGAAAGGCAGGTGGCCCTCCAAACCCCAAATTCCCAGCTAAGCACAGGGTGGCTCATCAGGGGAGCCATTTTATGTCCAGGCTCTCCAGGCTGACTCATATTTTAGGAAAAGAAAGTTGGCAGCAGCAAGGCAGGTCCACTCTGGATGTAAACAGTTTAGCCATTAGCAACACTTCAGCCAACAGCCTTCTCCGCTCACTTCCTCGCAACTTCCCTCCTTGGGAAAATGAGAGACTCTGGAAGTCAATTTGGGCTTATCTGACTGTGAGTGGGAGAACCCGGGCCCCGAGGGAGGGTTGTGCCCGAGAGAACAGGACAGAGCAGCAGCAGGCAGCCCCTGGGGACCAGGCCCCGTGAGCACTCAGTCCTACCTCCAAAGGCAGGCCTCATGGAGAAATCATGGTCCTCTACTCTAAGAAGCGGCTGAGGTTTTCCCTTGTGGATTTTGGTCACGTCAAGGTTCTTCTTATACAGGTGACTGCAAAGACAAGCAAGAGACGTTTTCCCAATGACCCACAAAGGCATTTGGGGAGATTACTCCCTATAAGAGCTACCTGTTAGGTATCTTTTCTCCATCCACCAAAGGCTACACACACACACACACACACACACACACACACACACACACACACACACACACCCTCCCGACTCACCCTGTCCTCTCCAGGCCCTCACAGGCAGTACCGAGGACCAGAGCCTTTCAGAGCCTTCCTAAGGTAATGATTGGATGACAGCAGTTGGGTTGAATGGTGGAGGATTGTATATACTTTTTTTAAAAAAACATTTCTCTTATGTTACTATAATACTGGATTTGTGATAGGGGTGCCTGGATGGCTCAGTTGGTTAAGCGTCTGACTCTTGATTTGGGCCCAGGTCATGATCTCATGGCTCATGAATTCAAGCCTCACATTTGGGCTCTGCACTGATGGCACAGAGCCTCCTTGGGATTCTTTCTCCCTCTCTCTCTCTCTCTGCCCTTCCCCTGCTCTCCTTCTCTCTCAAAGTAAATAAACAAACATTTTTTAAAAGAGTTAAAAAGAAGAATTCTAAGATTTAAAAAAAAGAGGAGAAGGTAGGGGATGGAGAAAGGAAGAAAGGGAGGAAGGAGGAAAGAAGGATGGATGGATTTGAATCTAACAAGATGTGAGATCTAATTCTTTTTTTTCTATGAATGTTTTACTTTTTATTTTTATTTTTTAATATAATTTAATATCAAGTTAACTAACATACAGTGTATACAGTGTGCTCTTGGCTTCAGGAGTAGATTCCCATGATTCATCGCTTACAGACAACACCCAATGCTCATCCCAACAAGTGCCCCCCTCAATGCCCCTCATCCATTTTCCCCTCTCCCCTGCCCCCCACCCTCAGTTCCTTCTCTATATTCAAGAGTCCCTTATGGTTTGTCTCCCTCTCTATTTGAAACTATTTTTTCCCTTCCCCCATGGTCTTCTGTTAAGTTTGTGAGATCTAATTCTCGACAGAAGAAACTAAACAGCCTTCTATGTAGTCAGCATTATGTGTAGGATATTTAAGGATTTTAGAAGTAAATGAAGGGATTTTGTTCTGAATGTTTGTTGTTCATCTATATATACATCCCTATCTTATTCTCAGAGTTCTTATCACACTTCATGTTTTTTAGAAAAACAGGCATATTTCCTGTTTAAACTCTGTAAAAGGGAAGTAACGTATTTCCTCTTTTGAGGTCCTGTTCTTTGAGACATCTTTCTATGAAATCCTCCTTAACTTTCATTCTCTATCAGCTCTACCCAGAGAGTGCAATTTGATGGAGTTCTAAAGCTGTGCTGATCAATAAACTAGCCACTGGCCACATGTGGCTGCTTAAGTTAAATAAACATTAGTGTTTTTATTACATTACATTACAGTTAAATTAGTGTTTAGTTCTTTAGCTATGCTAGCCATACTTACGTGCTTAATAGCCACATGAGGCTGGTGGCTACTATATTGGATAGTGCAGATCTATAACATTTCCTCAGTCTCAAAAAGTTTTATTCTGCAGTGCTGGTCTAAAGGTTAGTCTGCCCCAGCTTCCCTCCCCACCCAAGAAGCAGATTCTCCTATAAGCCGGCCTTCCCACCTTACAGCCCAGGAGCTACCTGGAGCTCCGAACTCCCAACTATTCCCTTAAGAGCCACCTGGAGCTTCTCAGGGAGAAGGTGAAAACAGGTTGGGGGCAACTTGGGAGCAGGAGCTGTAGGAGTATTTTCACTTACAGGTTGTTAGGGTACCTGAGGGCTTGACAGAGGTGCCTGACCCTCCTTCCAGAGCTGTTGACCTCTGCCCCCAAACACCCTCGTTCCAACTTCCTCAGCATCTCCCTTGTCCATGGCTCATTCTCATCAGCCTTCAAACCCAATTCAAGTCTCTCCCACCTTGAACCAAAACTAAGCAGAATATCTGTCTAGACTGCACATCCTCCTCATGCAAAATTTATTAAAAAGTGGCAGCAGCACAGGTGTCATAGTTATATTTGTCTTTAAACTATTTTTTAATGTCTTGGGGCGCCTGGGTGGCTGTCGGTTGAGCATCTGACTTCGGCTCAGGTCATGATCTTGCTCTTGGGTTTGAGCCTCATGTCAGGCTCTGAGCTGTCAGCACCTGAGCCTGCTTCGGATTCTGTGTTTCCCTCTCTCTCTGCCCCTCCCCTGCTCACGCTTTCTCTCAAAATAAATATTTAAAAATTGTTTATTAAAAAAAGTCTTTCCCCCTCTAAAAATAAATGATCCTCCCAGAGAACTGTGTGCCACCTGCTGCTGCCACCCCTCACTCCCAAGGACATCCTGCCCATTTGTGCCTGACCCGAGGCCCTGCAGGCACTCTTGCTGGGTGGGTGCTGGCTTCTCTGTGACACGGAGGGCCACGCCTCTGCTAGAAACCTGGTCTTTCAGATTCTCCTCTTACTGGTTCCTTCTCAATCTCCACTGCATCCTCCCCCTTGTCCTCAGCCCGTCCGTTACGTGCCAGTGTCCCCAGGGCCCTGTCCCAGCCGTCTTCTCTTCTCCCTCGACACCCTCTTTGGCAGGCTTGCCTATATCTGTGGCTTCAATTGTTGTTAATGTGTTGATGAGTCCTAAATCTGTACCCCCTGCTCTAGACCTTTTATCCATCTGTCTAACTGATTATGGACCGATGGCTATCCTATAGTCATTTAAACTCAACACACCCATGGGGCGCCTGGGTGGCTCAGTCAGTTAAGCATCTGACTCTTGGCCTCAGCTCAAGTCATGATCTCACAGTTCATGAGTTCGAGCCCCACATTGGGCTCCATGCTGACAGGGCAGATCCTGCTTGGAATTCTCTCTCTCCCTCTTTCTGCCCCTTCCCTGCTCGCACTCTCTGTTTCTCTCTATGTGTCTCTGTCTCTGTCTCTCTCTCTCTCTCTCTGTCAAAATAAATAAACTTTAAATATAAACACAACACAACCATAGTTTGGTTTGGGACATACCAGGTTTGAGGTGGCCCAGGCTGAAAGAGGAGTGGGCAGTCAATAAAAAGGAAAGGGAAAGACGAGGCACTAAAATGGACAGAGGGAGGCTGCAGGTGGCACCCAGGGACCAGGCCAGGCAGAGCCTTAAAGATCATGTTAAGAATTTTGTCTTTATCCAAAGGCAACAGGAAAACACTGAAGGTAACCAGTTGGAGGAAGAAGCCAGGATCAGAGTTGCTTTTAGACAAGCCAATCAGAGAGAAATCTACCTCCTGGTTCGCTGGAATATGGAACCCAAGTCCAGTCCCCTTGAACTTGGTGGTCACTGTCAGGGTGACTGCATGGAGCTTCTACTCTCACAGTCCCTGCCCCAAGCCCGGTTCCAGAAGTCAAGAGGCACTGAGCCTGGTGCCTGCACAGTGACTGTGTGACAGGCTACATTTGACACCCTAGCAAAGACGCCCCGGAAAGGTAGAGAAAGAGCTCAGCCAAAGGGCTTAGCAGATCACAGACATTAAATTGTGAGCCAACGGGGGCTCTCCCCTCTGCCTCACACGGAGCAAATCCCTGCTGGCCAGCAGTTTCCATATCCATTTAGAGGGGAGGATTAGGGAATGGAAGTCCCAGAATTCCAGCACCCAGGCAGGACAGAGGAGATTGAAATGCCTATGTCATTAATGAGGCTTTTTTTTTTTTTAAAGGAACCAGTTATTTGATAACTCAGGCCACTGATATCTCTAGCCTTGGGCTATTTGTATGGGCCAGATACCTTCAGTTCATCCTTTCAATGCCTGGATGTCATGGCCCGAAGACCCCAGACTCCAGGGGTCATACCCTGAGTCTCAGCCCCATGCAGGGCCACCAGAACTTCCATGGGACCTCAAACCGGCCTTGGGTAGGGAGAGAATGGAGTGCTCACTACACTTTCAAGAAGCAGGGATGGTGCCACTGTGTCTAAGTTTACTTGGTAGCAATAATAGCAGTCAAAATGACCATGCCTGTATGAATCACCCCCTCTCTGTGCAGACCCTGGGCTGCAGTTACTCCATCATCCCGGGGGGGTGGTCTCACAACCACCCCTTTCCAGCTGAAGAAACGAGGTTCAGAAAGATTGGGAAACAGCCATGGCCAGGGAGCCACAGAACCAGGGTCTAAACCTAAATTCCCTGAATTCCTGGCACCACTTCCTTCCCGAGACTCTGGGGAGGGTGAGCATCACTGGGCAACAGAAAAGGAAAGCTGTTCCTGGGCCCAGCACAACTTGAGCCATGATGCAGACCAAGAGAAGGATTGCCAAGGGCAGGCGGTACTAAGCGGGCAGCAAATGGGAGAGGAAATATGGAAGGGGCTCCCCTGGCTCTGGGACCAGGAGGAACCAGAGAGCGTTATCCAGGGAGATCCCAGGCCCTCAGAGCCTAGAGCAAGGTTCATTTTCAGATCTCTGGGCAGAAGAGTCTCTCCTGTAGGAAAGCAATCATGTGGCCAGGAGGCCAACTTAGGTAGCAGGTGGGGAGGAGTTAGGATAAAGCTGGGAGGCTGAGAAGCAGGAAGAAGAAAACAAGTCAAATAGCTAAGAGAAAACAGGTTCACGTGGCAGCAATTCAATAAACGGGGACACGAAGGCTCAGAAAACTGGAAGCAATTTTTGAAATGGTAGCTCCTGGGCAGAATAATTGTTTTGTGAGGTCACCTTGGCCAGAGTGATAAGGTATATAGTTTAGAAGAGATGCTAACAGCAGTGTGTGTGTAAGTATGTGATTGTATGTGTGAATGTGAACATATATCTTACATGTGAAGGGATGATGTGTGTGTGAGACCATGCATGTGCAGTATGTGTGACACTCTGAAATCCTATGTGTGGTATGTGGTATGTTTGTGTGGGGTTGCAGAATGGGAGACACAGGACTTCAAAGAAAAGAAGCTACCCTACAGAGATGAAGGGCTCTAAGGTTCAGGCCATTTTGGGGCATGTGGGTGGCTCAGTCAGTTAAGCATCTGACTCCAGCTCAGGTCATGATCTCACTGCTTATGAGTTCGGCCCCACGTTGGACTTTATGCTGACAACTTGGAGCCTGGAACCTGCTTCAGATTCTGTCTCCACCTCTCTGCCCCTCCCCAGCTCATGCTCTGTCTCTCTCTCTCTCTCTCAAACAAAACATTAAAATTTTTTTTTTTAAATAAAGTTCAGGTCATTTTATTCCTATTTATTAGTATATCTTAGCTCTTATGTGTCAAGGATAAAAGTAACTTTTTTATTCAGATGCTTGGTTGAAATTTTTCGCCGACAGACATACTTGTCTGAGCATGAACAAGTTCTGGTGGATTTAGAAAGGCCTAGGGGCATCTGGGTGGCTCAGTCGGTTAAGTATCCAACTTCGGCTCAGGTCATGATGTGGTTTGTGAGTTCAAGCCCCATATCAGGCTCTATGCTGTCAGCACAGAGCTGTTGCGCACGCGCTCTCTCTCTCTCTCTCGCTCTCTCTCTCTCAAAAATAAACATTAAAAAAATTTTAGAAAGGCCTAGAACCATGTTTCCTGATATGAATTTTCTCTATCCTTTTTCCCTGCCTCCCTTCAATAATTATTTTATACTTGGCAAAAGTATATGTTCATCTTTTCTTCCACCTAAATATCTCATGGGATGGATCTCAAGAAACTCCCCTTACCCCTAAGGGTCAGATTCAGTCTGTCCCCAAGCTCATGCAGGTGTCTGGGAATGACTGCAGGTCTTCTGGGAAGTGACAGAGATGTCGCAGCTCAGGCTGCCAAGTAGACTCCCCGAGGGGCAAGTGCTGAACCCTAGCACCATTCTCAGGGAATAGACCATTCCATGCAACGCTTTTCCTCCAGGCTGAGTAAATCAGGAAACCTACATTCTAGTCCTGTGGGGTCACTAGCCAGCTGTGTGAATTACCCATGCCTGAGAGCTTACTTTTCAGCATCCCTAAAATGAGTCCGTGTTTCCCAATATGTGCTCTGTAAACTAGGACTCCCACAAGATAGTCCGAGAAAGTGGGTTGGCTTTTTTTGGGGCAGGGGGAACTGCATAATTTATTTTCCTCTTCAAGATTCAGAATGTCTATTTGCATAATACATGTTCTAGAGGCTCTGCTATAAAGGCATCTGTTTAAAATCGTCTAAATCACAGTTTCCCCAGTTTCTTTGATCCCGAAGCCCCCTTTTCACACAATACCTAGACACATTTCACAGAATTAGAACTCAGAAGAATTGCTGACTCACATGACCCCTGAGGTTCCTTCCAGTCCAAAAGCCTGTGATCCTGACAACATAACCAGGGCAAGACTTCCGGAGCAGTGTCTCTTTCCTGGCATCGTGGACAAGTTTTATCTGTTTGCTTTCTGAGTAGCCTCAGGCCCTGCAAGCATGTATACCCCCCAGGCACCAATTTCCAAAGCCAGCACACACCTAGGGTGTTTAAGATGATCCACTGGGATGCAGAAGGTAGAGATTGTAACTCTTACTGACGGTTTTTATCTAAAACTAAGGAAGCAATTGTTTTACTTTAATATGTATGTTTATAACAGTACATGTATGTAATTTATAAGTAAACATACATATGTAACAGGGACATTTTCAAAAAATTGTCAGCGATAGCGGTGCCTGATTAAACAGCAGTGACCTAAAACGTGCCTCAAGATACTAATTTATATTCATAATCACTAGTTCACACAATGCTTAGTAGAATGGAAAACAGGTGTAGCAACTCGCGTGTGGTGCTTATATCTTAAGCTGCTTGTTCTTTTCTTTATGCTGAACAGTCGTGTCTACAGCAGGCCTGGAGTATCCGATTTTGTACATTGGTTCAATCAAACTTAATAAGGAACTTTGATTTGTAAGGTAATGATTTTGTATGCCTAATCAGTATCTTGGAAGTGTTTCCATTGCAAAATGGCAATTCCTATTGTCCACACATGTATTTCTGATAACCTAGCAAATTTCAAATACTGTTTTAGGATTCAAAACAGTGAAATGAAACCCAATACCATTACAAAGTTGTTCTCAAATACTTTTTTCTTAAAAAATTCATTTATTTAGCTTGAAAGAGAGTGAGCACAAGCAGGGGAGGGCCAGAGAGAAGGAGAGACAGGATCCCAAGCAGACTTTGCGCCGTCAGCCCAGAGCTCAATGTGGAGCTCGAACCATGAACCATGAGACCATGACCCATACCGAGATCAAGAGTCGGACACTTAACCGACTGTACCCGCCCAGGCATTCCCCCAATCAAATAATTTAAAGAGGACAACTTCCATTTATAATTTTTTCTTAGCAGTTCAAACTAAATTCCTATATACAGGGCCCCCTCCAAAGTACCTGAGTGCAATTACTCAGCAGGCCACCTATGGTCCCACCAGGATGCAGTCCTGAGAAACAAAGCAGCACAATCCGAGAAGTGCAAGATATTTTACCCACAAAATCTTCAACTACCTGCCTTGAGTCAAAATGCTTGGGCAGAACACAGATACTAGAACAAAATGCTCAACCCAGTCTACTTCTTGATCTCACGGCTTGTGACACTATAGCATATTTGTGCCCTGAGAGAGGCTGTTTTCAGTGAGGTGAAGTCCTGTCTACCTCCGGCTGGAAATAGATTCCAATAGGGACAGGTAACCCCTAGCCCTCCTGGGAGCCATCCCACTGTGCTGCTGCTGCTGCTCCTGCCGCCAGTGACCCCATCCGCTCCCCCCATCCCCCATGACTTTACCTTGGCTTGGGCATTTCTGGCTGCCCTGTCCATCTCCTCCTCTTGGGCTTTCTGCTGTCCACAAGAGCCGTCAGACAAAACAAGAACAAAATGAGTCGTGTGAAATAAGGCATTCTGTGACTGTCTATGACACCAGGAGCTCCTCTCCAGTAACCTGCAGCAGGGCAGACCCCCCTGGGCTGAACCATTGATTCAGGCTGTCGCTTTGTGATGGTGCTCCTCTGAGGGGCTGCGAGGGCATGACTGGCCAGACTGATTTTTCCCATTCAATATTTGATAGTGATGCTCGACTCACCCCGCCTCCCGCCTCCCCCCAGGAGTGACACAAACACCAAGGCTTTGCCCTCCCTGCTGCCTAATGATTGGCCATTAGTCAACAAGTTTGTCCTGTGAAATTCTGCTTCCGCTGAGTCCGAGGGCAGCTTTAGGTAAAACTGTTACATAAAAAACAACAAAAAAAAACAACAAAAAAAAAACCATTTTAAACCTCTTGAATATGCCAGCTCTTTGCTGAGATCATTAATCCTTCCCTCTGGCTGCATAAAACCAGTCTGTCACATGCACCAGGGAGACAGCTTGGATTCTGAGTAGATTTGCAGGGAAGACCTGATGGACAAGACAAGTGCATGAATGTGCTCAGGAGGTGCTGAGTATACACACAAATGACCTGTTTTCACAAGGTGGTTTTATTTCTCCATCTAAGAAACCATGCTTTGCCTATGGCAAAGGATGCTTGCTTTCCCCTCAAATACACATCTTTTTTTCCAGTAAAAGTACATTTGATTTTGAAGGAACGCGTACACCAAAGGGGAATTCATGATTATGTAAGCTCTTCTTCCTATCACAAGCATCAGATTAATTTTGATCTTCAATCCTCAAATGTATAATTTCATCATAAATTAGGCTTGATTCCTATCCTGGGATATGGAATTATGAACATTAGAAGTGTAAAGATATATGTGGTTATATTTAATCTACTGAACAGTATAAAATACTTAAAAACTACTTATTGCTTGCCTACTGCATCCAAGATGGAGAGGAGTTCAGTGTGGTAGAGACGTAGGGAGATGAGGCTGGAAGTCAGGAAGAGATAGCCGGAACTGAAACAGAATTGGGTTTTATTATGTAAGAAAGAAAGAATCAAAGGAACTTTTGATTCTTTAAGCAAAGTGGGGTGACATGATCCACGTTATTTTTTTTAAGGAATCCCTAACTGGGATCCGTTGGATCGGAGAAGTTATAACAAAGGAGATGAGGTCTTGCCCTCATAGAAGGGAAGATGGAAGGAGAATAGGAGGGAAGAAGATAGAAGAATGATGGTCAAGTTATTTCTGAAGTAGAATAATTTTCTGACTGAACAGAGTGGAAAGTAATAGAAGTCAACAGTGATATCTACAGTTCTAATTTGGGGGTAGGACTGGTGGATGGTACCACCATTAACTGATATCCATTAGAGGTGGACAGGTTTGGGGGGAGAGGGCATAGATTTTTGACTTGTAGAGTTTGAGGTATTGTGGGACTTACAGATGCCCAATAGGCATCTGGAGTATAAATAAGCCTGGAGCTCAGGAGAAAGGTCTGGACTGAAGAAATAGATTTGGAGCCATCAGTGTTATGGTGGTAGTTTAACCACAAGAAAGAGTGAGATCTTTCAGGAAAATAGAAGTTCCAGTGTAAGGGTAGAACCTTGAGAATCTATACCTTTTTTTTTTTTTTAAGATTTTTATTTTAAGTAATCTCTATAGGCAATGTGGGGCTCTAACTCACAACTCCAAGATTAAGAGTTGCATGTTCTACCAATTGAGCCAGCCAGGTGCACTGGAATCCATATTTTTAATGGATGGATGGGAAGCCTGGACAAAAGCATAGAACCAGCAAAGAGGGTGACCATGAAAACCATAGGAGTTTCTGGTTTGAGTGCTGTGAGGAAGTGAAGGCAGAAAACAGCTTCAGCTAGATCTGGCAACCAGAACGTTGCTCCACACTTCGATTAACTGTAGTTTCAGTTCAAAGATGTGGCAGGAAGCCCAATTCCAGGAGTTTAAACAGGAATTTGGGAGATTTTTATTTTAAGTAATCTCTATAGGAATAATTCTATAATCTATAATCTATAACTCTATAATCTCTATAGAATAATTCAGTATGGGAAAAATTCAGTGATTCCCAAATCTGACCACTTCTCAGAATTATTCACGTAATTTGTTTAAGAAGTCCCACTACTCCTTAAGATTTAGTGGAAAAGAGATGGGGCCCATTAAAGTTCTTTTCTGTAGATTTTGTTCAAAAGATCACTGTTTTCCTCTCTTCAATTTCAAACAGGCCTATAAAGGACTGGCTGGAACCCTAGAATTGTTCATAGATAATGTTGGTTTTCAAGAAATGTTTGTTATATTGCATTCTGGATACAATGTTAGGTCCTATCAATTTTTTTTCATCTTTCTTATTTTCAGTAGTTCAATTATTGTGATCACATTATGGAGAAAAACTCAGCTGGAGATAAGCGTAACTTTTTAAATAATGGCTTTACTAAAATATTGTTCACATGCCATAAATTTACCTTTTAAAACTGTGGTTTTTAGTATATTCAGGGTTGTGCAACCATCACCAGTATCTAATTTTAGAGCATTTTCATCTCCCCCCCAAAAACGCTTCATACCATTAGCAGTCACTCCTCCTTCCCTTCACTTCCCTTCAGCCCTTGGAAATCACCAATCTGTTTTCTGTCTCTGTAGATTTGCCTAATCTCAACATTTCATATCAATGGAATCATACAGTATGTAGCCTTGTGTGTCTGGCTTCACTCAGCATGTTTTATTTTCTTCCTTTCTCTTTTCTCTTTGTCTTCCTACCTTCTTTCCTTGCATGATGTTTTGAAGATTTATCCATGTTGTAGTATGTATTATAACTTCATTCCTCTTTATTACCAAATAAGGTTCCATTGTAGAAACAGAACACATCTTGTTATCCATTCTTCAGTCAACTGGCTTTTGAGTTTCCAGTTTGGGGCAATTAACAACAATTCTATGAATATTTGTGTACAAGTTTGTGTGAACATGTTTTTATTTCTCTTGGCAATATACCTGGGAGTAGAATGGCTGGGTCGTATGGTAAATCTGCTTAACTTTTTGAGGAACTATCAGTTTTTCAAAGTGGCTGCCCCATTTTGCATTCCCACGAGCAATGGATAAGAATTCCAATTTCTCCAATTCCTCATTTACCATTTTTATTCTGGCCATCAGTGGGTGTGAAGTAGCTTATTGTACTTTTGGCATGCATTTCCCTAATGACTGATGTTGAGCATCTTTCCATGTTTATTGGTCATTCGTGAATCTTCTTCGTACAAATGTCTATTCAAATCCTTTGCCATTTCTGTCAGGTTATTTATCTTTTTTATTATTGAATTATACGAGTTCTCTAGATATTCTAAATACAAGTCTCTTATCAGATATATTATCTGCAAATATTTTCTGCCATTCAGTGTTGTCTTTTCACTTTTATCTATTTTGAGAGAGCGAGTACATGCAAGTGGGAGAGGTGCAGAAAGAGAGTGAGATAATCCCAAGCAGGCTCCATCCATCAAGAGTTGGATGCCTAACCAACTGAGCCACCCAATAAGTGCCAAGTTTCTTTTCACTTTACGAATGTTCTTCAAAACACAAAAGGTTTATTTTGATGAAATGTAATTTTTTTCTTTGGTTGCTTGTACTTTTGGTCTTGTGTCTAAGGAACCACTGCCTCACCCATGGTCATGAAGATTTAGTATGTTTTGTTTTAATAATTTTTATAGTTTTTGCTCTTAACGCTAAGGTCTTAGATCCATTTTGAGTTAAGTTTTATATATGGTGTAAGGCAGAGGTTGCAAACTTTAACATTTGCTCAGTTCTCTCAGGAAACAGGATTGGCCCCAGTGCTCAAGCTCAGCTGTGGAAAGGCCCCTGTAAACTGTCAGATTAGGCCAGAGAGCGCAGTGGGACTCTGGTTATGCAGCCTTCTGACCTACATTCAGGGTGTGGGCTTAAGAGACAGAATGAGATCTGTGCCCATCAGAAGACACTGGCTGCAGTGTGAGGAACGGTGTGAGACTGGAGACTTGTAAGATGTTACTGCACTAATTCAGAGGGGATTAAGGCTCATTAGGGTAATGGCAGTGAGCGTGAAGTGGAAAGATGGGAGAAAATATTTAAGGAGATAGAATGGACAGAAGGCCGAATAAGAGAAAGAATACAACCTTTGGTCAAAACACGGTATGAATAAAGTCACTGGTTTTATTGAGCAGCTCAAACTAGTTCTGAAGGCAACTGTTAAGAGGCGTTCCAAACGGCTTCTGAGCAAGGCACAGCCTCCCACAAAGGCTTAAACAGTACACACGCTAATGTACATATTAGTCTTTGTGAAAAGTCAGGTTCACTAAATGCATTCACTTTCCATATACTTACTTGCAAGTGATGGCACAATATAGGCTTTTCAGTACGTCAGCCTAGGTCTCTGCTCAAGTAAGTCCAAATGTGTGAGGTTTGTTTGTGTACGGATTCTGGTCTATAAAAATGGGAGGTCTCGAGGTACCAGAAAGTTTATTCATAGCCAAAAATAACAAAAAGATTTCTTATTCTCCTGAAATAGGAAATACTGTATTTCCATAGTCAAAATGATAAACAACTTTAAAGGTTTTTAAAAAAATTAGTTGAGAATTTTGATGAAATTCATTTATTTCAGTGGAATAAAACAGTAAGCAGCATGAAAAAGTAAAGTGCTACATAAAAGCCCCACAATACATAAAATTTGAAAGGTTTCATTTGCTTAAACAGCTACAGGTGAAACAGACATTATACATTTTTTGACATGCTATTTTAACTACCTTGATATGTAGTCATGTACTTTTGGTCAAAGAAAAATGAATTACCTAAATGTGAGGACTGAGGGAAGGAGTCCTAAGCCTTTACCAACCAGATATACATCTGGCTTTGTCCCAAAAGTCTAGTCAAAGGGATAAGGTGGGGCTTTAAAAATAACTTTTCTGAAGAGTCTCTTCAAGTGGCATTTGAGTAAGAATAGCCCCAAAGATCAATTTTGCTCATCAACTCCACAATGGGGATCAGACTGGTAACTTAAGGATTTTTAAGTAGCATAT